GGTCCCGGGTTATAGGTGGAGCCAAGTTTCGTCATGGATAAGGAAAAAAGCTGTTTAAAAGTGGCAGAGCTTAAGGAAGGAAAAGAAGCTCAGCGTGCAGAGATGGAGGAGGAGTGTGGTTAGAGCTTTGGAGAAGTACAGAAGGGTTTGGGTTGAAGGGATGTTAAAGATGGGCTAGTTCCAAACCCTCTGCTGTGAGCAGGGACAGATCTTGTTCTCATCCCTCCGCCACTAACTTAGGATGCTCCAAGTCTTGTCCATTTGTCCAGGGATAGGGCAAAGCTTCTCTAGGCAACCTGTGCCAGTGTCTCACCACCCTCCTAGTAAAGATTTTCTTCCTAATATCTCAGCTAAATATCTCCTCTTTTAGTTTAAAAGCAGTTCTCATTTTCTTATTACTCCATACCCATTTTAAAAAAATCCCCCTCCAGCCCTGCTGTACCCTCTTTAGGTATTGAAAGGTGCTATAAATTCTTCCCAAAGTTTTCTCTTCTCCAGGTACTTCTCAGAAGGTGCAGAGCTAGTTTTTTATGTGTCACTTGCTCTAGCTGACCCTGCTTTGGCTGGTTAAACTAGATGAGCTCCAGAGCTTTCAACCCTAACACTTCTGTGATTCCATGATCTCTATGTGTATATATATCCCTGTAAAAAAAAAACCAAAAACACACTGGAAGAAGCATCAGCCTCCCAGTTTGCTGCTACAGCCCAGTGAAAGAGGTAAAAAAAAAAAAGCTAGACAAGGTGATATTCTCCAGGCAGTTTTAATAAAGCACAGATTATTGTGTTTCCCCCCCACACTGATCAAGTGCTTATATACAAGGTATGAATAGTGGATAAAAAAAAATATTACAGCACTGAAAATCTGATTTATACATATGGGTCGCTTAAGCAAACAGCTGAGAAGGGTGAAGGAGTTCAAAGCTGTAATCCCTTCTGCTCTGAGCACTTCCCAAACAAAAGCACCACAGACTGCTGAAATTAGGGAATCAGGTGACCAGATTTACAGCTTTTATTTATTCAGATTGAGGCAAGGCACTGGTTAAGAAATACTTCTCTATATGTACAACTTCAGGAAGCCCAAAGCATCTGTCACTGGGCTGGGAGTGGCTGTGCCATGTGCATGGCAGGAGCTTGCATGGGCCACCCCTCCTGGTGGTTCTGCAGCAACCTGTAGAGCTGCTTCAGGTGAGCCACGATGTTGTCCTTGATGTCAGGGGTGGAGATCTGCAGCCTCACGCTGCCGCTGTCGAAGGAGCGCGTGAAATCGCCAGAAAACATTTCGTAGATCATCCTGGCCACGACTGGAATGACCTGTGGAAGCAGAACTTAGTTGTTTTATTCTAATGACACACAGAATATCCATGTTATTTCGTAGGAAGGCCCAGTCCTGGATTATTTCCACAATAACCTAAAGAGATGTTCAGTCTGTAATTCACAGACTGATGTTATTCAGCACATGTAACATTTGTATTTGCTGTTCCAAAACCCACCACATTTATTGGTTTGCCAGTACTAGTAACTATACCAGAGAAGAACAGGTCTCTGGTATCCATGGCATCGATCCAGAGCCAACACACCAGCACCAACAAGGCTGGCACGTGTCACCTCAGAGCATCAGCTCCTACCTGCACCACAATCAGCTTCCTCTCCCTGGGTTTTCCATCAGGCCATTCTTCTCCAAAACAGAAGTAGATCTCATATGGTGGCTGTTTCTCAATTTGTCCTTTCTGATGAGCAATCAGCTCTAGGAAGAAAAGCAGAATGCTGCAGGGTTGGTCCTCCTCTGGTTAGAAACATCACATCCCACCTCGTTGTATCATCCCAGGTCTTACCTACACATGGGCAGAGCCACCTCTTACACATACACAATTGTTTCTTGCACCCAGGAGAGCTTTCTCTAGAAGTAAAGCCCTCTGTGTTCAGAGCATTGAATGAGCACACATTTCTTTGCTGCACACCTGCTCCACAGGCCACTGAAGGCAGGGAATTGTTGGCCCCTATCCATGCTCCATGCATGAGCAAACTAACTGGTGCCTCCAGGCTGAGCCCCAGTGCAGACCACCCTTTCCAACAGAGCCACCAAGTGCCCAAAGTTCATTTCCAGATCATCCAAAGCTATTTTCCAGAAGCAGAAGTTACCTACCGCTTAGGAATGTTTCCAGACAGAAGAGTTTGACTTTCTTCTGCCTCTCGATCAGATTTGGTGTGGTGGAGGAAGGTGCACAGGGCCCAGACCAGTACACCTTGCACTGGCAGAGCCGGACAGCGTAGATGGCATGGCCACTGACCTCCAGGATCAGTCCCCTGTCCATTACATCCAGCAGTCGACTTGTGAAGATCTTCTGCCTTTCATTGCTGATCTGTTCTGTTCCTGGAAACTTGACTTGCTCCAAGCTAATAGGCCCAAAGAGCTCTTCCTGGTCTGGCATTGGCCCCAGCTCTCCATAGAACAGTCTGCATCCCTGGGGATTGCTTACGGTCGTTGTCGGTCCAGTCTCCTTCCCTCGATATTCAAACTTGATTTCTAGGTCTGTCACTGAGAGAGAAAATGTCAGTGTGGCTTTTCCTGGACCACTGCATGTGCTGTATCAAAAGCAGTTGCCATGGAACCAGAGAATCAGAATGGCCTGGGTTGGAAGAGACCGTAAAACTCATCTCATTCCACCCCCTGCCCTAGGCAGGGACACCTTCCACCAGCCCAGGTTGCTCCAAGTCCTGTCCAACCTGGAACACTTCTAGGGATGGGGCAGACACAGCTTCACCTGTGCCAGTGCCTCAGCACCTTTATATTAAAGAATTTCTTGCTAACATCTAAGCTAAACCTGCCCTCCTTCAGCTTAAGGCAATTCTCCCTTATCCTGTCACTCCAGGCTCTTGTAAATAGTCTCTCTTTCTTTTAGGCTCTTTCAGGTACTGTAAGGCCACAATTAGGTCACCTCAAAGCCTTCTCTTCTCCAGGCTGAACATTCCCAATTCTCTCAGCCTTTCCCCATAGCAGAGATGCTCCATCCCTCTAATTACTTGGTGTCTCCTCTGGACTCACTCCAACAGCTCCATGTCCTTCCTGTGCTGGGGCCCCAGGGCTGGAGGCAGCACTGCAGGTGGGATCTCACCTGAGCAGAGCAGAGGAGCAGAATCCCTCCCTTGACCTGCTGGCCAGGATACACTTGGCTTTCTGGATTGTAGCAATCCACACTACAGTCATGGGAGTATTTAAACTACACACAGTTCTCCATGCTAACAAGCAAACAGCCCACAGGAAAAAAAAGTCAAAACACTGGTTTGGAGGTATTTTTAAAGTAGAATGGCAGAAACACTATTCCAAACCTATACACATACTTGGCAGAGAGCTGATCCAGAGCTCAGGGCTGCTGAAGAAGTCATGCTGCAGTGCAGTTGGAGGCATTTCCATATCCAGAGGTTCATTCTTTGGCCACACAGCTTCAGAGCTGCAGTTTTCTGCATTGGCTGGAGCCATTGGAGAATCTAGAAAAAGGCAACAATTCTTCAATAAACCAAGATTTTATTTCAAGCATGCACCAGTCTACAAGCCAATACCTTGACTAATACATTAGTCAGTGCCACCAACCGTTGATATTAAGAAATGGAAATGTCTCTTGAATAGGGACATGCTGAGATTGATTCAATTCTTCCTCCTCTTCATCATCAAGATCATTATCCTTTTCATCCCATGGAGCTGAGCCAGTGGAACCTGAAAACAAGCACATTCTTGTGGGTGGATGATCAGCATGAAACACTGTGATGCATTTCTTAAGAAAACAATGTAATCTTCATATTGGCTGTGCACAATATTGGATGATTGTGTACTTTCCAGATGTAAGCACAGAAAGGATTGATCTGATCCATAGAACAGCTTATTTTCAGTTTAATATATAACTCTAGAAGGCAAAGGATGAAGTATTACCAAGATTTGAGTGTTTAGGAGAAAACATGCAGCCGTGTAGAGTTTAATTCATTTTAGTGCAGGTAGAAAAGGATGGTTCAAACTCCTCTCAGTTTAAGCAAGGTTTATACACAGCAGCTTCTCTCTGCTGCACACCAAGGAGGCTCAAGGGTTAATGCACAGAGAGAAAGGAACTGAGCTGGACAGATGCCTGCTCAGCAGCCAGCCCGGTGTCAGCAAGGCCCTCACCTGGATTAATGATTGATCCCTGGGACTGGGGGATGTCACAGACTTCATAAATTTTAATGGGGTTCATGGGCACCTCCTTGGTGCCATCATACATCAAATTAAACTCTCGGCTCTTGTTGAGCGCACACCGGAGCTGAGCTTTCCACTTTGCAGGGTCTGGTTCATCCACTCCTTCCTGGTACTTTCCTGTTTCCACGGCCCATGCCTGGGGACAAAGTACACTGAGCTCAGTCCAGCCCTCTCCACAGCGCAGCTTTTATCAGGAATCAAACTTCCAGGCAAATTCACTGTAAAAATCCTTCTCTTGCAGAAGCCTGAACTAGAGCTCTTCTGATAATAGTGACGGAAATTCCTACGTTTAACAGCTTTGCCCATTAAAAGAAGGGGGAGTAAAAGATATAAATCCTAATGTTTTCTTGAAATTTGCAATTCTGAACATGCAGAGGATCGTGCACAGAGGTTTCTCAAGGTCTCTCAGGCTCAATGCCAGAAGTTATTTTTGACAGGGAGCCAAACCCTGTGCGGGAAGAATGGACTCGGTTAAAATGCAGTGGAAGTGCAGCCACAGATCCAACTGGCCCTCTCCTTCCCTCACCTCAAAATCAGACTATCAGCCCAAGATCCCTCCAAGACAGAGTTCAGAAATTCCTCTGAGGAGCATAGGGAGTCATAGTGAATCCCTTGGGATAAGAATATTAGGGACAGCAGCGATGATGTGCCTGTGATGAGCTCGTGGTGGACCCGTTGAGATTTATGTAACAGCATTTAATGCTGCCAGGAATGAGCCAGAGACCACATCCCTATCCCAGCACGGAACAGCAGTAATCTTTCAGAGCCCATGGATCAGACATCATCTGGCCTTTGGTGGCTGGAAAGGGTTAAAGAACTCAACACTGTCTGAGACAGTGCCAAGCTTGGCATCCAGGTGCACAAAGTGGCTTTGCCGAGGTCAAATAAATAGGACAAAACGTGCTTGGAAACAGCTACTGAGATGCCTGTCCAGCTCCTGGGCCAACAATCCAACTCTTTGTCTGTGTTTGGGAGCTGTGGACTCTCGGAGCTCTCCCCTGCCTCACCTTGAAGATGGTGTTCTCCTCCTCGTGCTGAGGGCTGTGCCGAGTCGCGTGTTTCCAGGGGATCTGGAACCTCTTGGCCTCTCTGTTCAGCCAGATCAGGCCAGGGTACATCCCACTGTCCACCTGGGCCACCAGCCACGGCTTGAGGCGAACCCTGCGCGGGTGCAGCGCCATGGTCTGCGAGACAGGGAGAATCCTTCAAGGTTAGTTGAGACTCCGATGCTCTAAAACCCTCCGTTAGTTTCATCAAAAAGAGCCTGATGCTGTGTGACTGCTCTGGTTCATTAGGTACTGCACTAAACCACGAGCTCAGATTGAGCTGGATGACTCCTCAGCCAAGAGGAGTTACACACACACACCACTGAGCAGGGAGCAGAACTGTTAGGAGGTCAACAACTCCCTGGTAAACCCTCTGGAGCGCGGAGAGGGCGAGCCCCGAGCACACCTGAGCTGTAAACCCTGCACAGGAGCTAAAGCCACCAACAAGCCACGGCAAGAACAGGCAGGAGAATTTCCAGAGCCTCCACGTACACCTGAGCAAAGAGACAGATCTGATCTCGTGCTCCTGCAGTGCTGTCAGACTTGCATCGAGGAGGAGAAACTCACACGTGCCCAACTCAGCTCTGGCCCAGCTCAGGTGGAGGTGGAAGCAGCAGGTTGAAGCCAAGGAACTGTTTTATCACACAGTCATTCCCCTGAAAGTCATTTTATGACTTTTTCACGAATGCTCTGAATGCAGCATAATGGTTGGCAAACACCACTGACCTGTAATAACCAGGATGTTTATCCAGCAGGACATGAACTGCAAGTCTGCCTGCACTCCTGCTAAAAATCAAGTGCTGTTTACTTAATGTTTTCCTTTCAGTAGCCTTGTGTTGCCAATACAATTGCAGCCAGCCAACAATATTTTCATGGTGCAGAACAGACACAAAGCCAAACAAACAAAATTAATGCCTGGCCCTCTGCTAGAAGAGGCAACATTTGGTGTCTTTAGATTCTGACTTCTACACCACACATGTGCTTAGAAGGTGCATGTCCCATATTCATTTGTAAATCTCAAGACAAGAGGTGAGAAACTACAAATATTCCCATTAATAAAAGAGTTACAGGTATGTAAAACCTTTGCCATAAGCCCTGAATACTGCTGCAGGGAGTTGCAAAATGTGTCTAGCAGCAGAGATGGAGAAGATTAAAAAAAATCCTATCCAAGAACTAGTCTAGGAACAGGTTTTATTTGTTCAAATACCTGCAGATCCCATTCAGATGCAAGTGCTCACACAAAATTAATCCAAACACAACTTAGTTGATCTGTTAAGCAAAGAAAATGTTCAGCTTCAACTGCAAATGATCTTTAAATAATAGTTTGGAAACATGCTTCAGCAAGAACCTGGGCACATTAGCAGAGTCTTTCCCAGGAGCTGCAAAGGATCAGGAAGCAATCATCAAAATTGTTTTAGTGCTCCTGAAACTCTGCTGTGTTAGTTCCCCCCGTCAAAAAATGCCATCAGAATTTAACTTGCAAAGACACAAAGTCCAGGTTAATCCTGGATTTCGAATTGAGACCAAAACCAAGTATTGATTTCCCTTAGAAAGGTATAAAAAAAAAAAAAAAAAAAAAAAGTGACATTTTAACAAAGAAATCTCAACGAAGGCTCATTTCCACAATCTCTTTTACACTTCACTTTACAAGCAGTTCCCTCTGCTCCTAATCACATACACTGTGTACACACACATTTGCAAGATGAGGAGTAAATCCAAAGCCACAGAAGGAGGGGAGAAATTCGTGCCCCTCTCACACCAAGTGAGTCAGGTCACATGGGCCTGGCACTGCTGGGCTCGGATTGTCCCTGGGCTCACAGACACAGTCTGTCAATACATGACATTACAATGCTTTATGACCTTTTATCACCAATGACTTGTTGACACAATAACAAAGAGCAAATCAACTTGAATCCCATAGCTGGGCTCAGACGGTGAGTCACCCTCTTACAGCCTTCAACTTCGATCCTGTGGGGTCCAGTAATGCCAAAGGCTTGGGGAATGTCTTGGGACATTCATTGCCTGTGCCAAGGCAGGTTTGGCCCTCACTCAACATTCCTCAGTGCTCATACTCAGGGATCCTCCATTTCACTTTGTTCCCACTCAGTTTGGTGTGTGGGGATAATTAGCACATCCCTGTGCTGCTAATGCATCTCTGGTTAGAGATGTAATTATTCCCTGTACCCTAATTATTACTTAATAAGACAGACATTTCTCCTTGGAGAGGAGACATTCAACGAGAACAACTCCAGCAAAGTCAGGAAGGAGTAGACATCCTGCAGCCACTTCCCCCAGGGCTGCAGAGAAGTGACCCAGGTCAGGGACAGCCACGGTGCTCTGTGGTGACTCTTGGGGCTCTGTCGTGGTGCCAGAGCCCAACAACACACAGTGCACCAGGAAAACACAACCTCAAGCCCATCCAGGCTTTGCTGCACAGATGCTTTCACTCTCCACCTGCACACCTAAATATAGTCAGTGTTCCTGCTCCACCTCATCCATGAAACCTCTGGAGAAGGAAGGGTGCTCATAGCTGCCATACCACAGATCCCATTCCTTCTTCTTCACCTTGGATTACATTACCCTTTATTTCATGGGTCTGTATTCATTTTTACAAGGACAAGCATTCCCACAGGGAAACAGGCTGAATTTCCACCTGACACTTAATCCCCTCCCCACACTGGGAACCTAGAGCTCCCACATTGGAGATCCACACATCTCGGGTGCTCATAGCTGCCATACCACAGATCCCATTCCTTCTTCTTCACCTTGGATTACATTACCCTTTATTTCATGGGTCTGTATTCATTTTTACAAGGACAAGCATTCCCACAGGGAAACAGGCTGAATTTCCACCTGACACTTAATCCCCTCCCCACACTGGGAACCTAGAGCTCCCACATTGGAGATCCACACATCTCTCCCATCCATCCCAGCCATCCATCCATCCATCCATCCATCCCCCCATCCATCCATCATCCAGGTTTCCCTGCCCCAACACACTTTGAGCACCATTAACCCTTACACCTCCCAATCCCTCCACCCCAATCTACTCACTTCATCCTCCTCCCATGGCCTCAGCCTGTTAAATTGGAAGGGACAGGAATTCTTACAGATAATATGAGTTTCGAGGGAATAACACGGTCCAAAAACTGTGTCGGGTGAAGGAGGTGGGGGACAAACACTCCCCAAACTTCAGGCCTCGCTTTACACCGACTCGAAAGGCGTAGCTCGAGGCTAATACAGCCCAACCCGCGGAGCAGATGGGGAATGAGCACTAAATAATTTTTTTTTCAGCCTGTTTTGCCCTCCTGACCCCCCTCGGAGCCGCGCGATCCCCGCGGAGCCGCAGCGTTCCCGCCCCGTCCAGCCGAGCTCGGGGCTCTCCGCGGGAGCGGAGAGAACTTTTCCCCGCACATCCAACCGAGTTCTCC